TTGCCTCATCTGCTTCGGCAAGACCAAAACGAATATTCCAATTCATAATTCATTTCGATTAGAAGATATAATAAGGCCTTTCGATAAAATATTAAAACCAAAAATTATCTAGAGATCCATCGATTTTCAACAAGTACCTTCTTCTGATCTACGGACGTTTCCGCAATCGGAAGTTCCAGGAATCGAGTCCAATTTGCCATCGAGTAATGGAACGCGGTTCTAATAAAATATTTACCTTTATAAAAGTTCTTGGAATATTATATTTAATGCTTCGGTATATTTGTATAAGAAATAGGTGCAAATACTCTTCAGAACTAGATAGTTTACACAGGATATTGTATTTTGTATATAAAAAGTTTGGATATTATATATCTATGCATTTAAATATAAATAAGAGCACCGCCGTGCCCTCAGAGATGTGATTGGCGACGGTGACCTCTCGCACCTGGCCCTAGTTCTGGCCATGATTCGGAGCGAAGAGGACTGGGATGCCGTCTTCTCCTTTTGGGAAGCAGTCATGCTAGCTAAGGAGAAGGCGGGACGCGTGAGGCAGCAAAGCGCTCCTCACAGCCCAAGGTAGCTCGCCGCCCGACCAGGACCAGACCCGTGCGTACGGCGCGTCGCTTTCCGCGCGCGGCTCAAAAAACCATAAAGGCCCGATAAAGCTGATGCCAATACGGAGCCGCGGAGGACTTAACGGGTTGCCGGAGCTCCGGCTCAAAGGGCAGGAGTAGGAACGGAGTGCTTATTAGTCAGTAAGAATCTGACCCTCTCGGGTGAGAGGGGTATCGTCTGGGTAGACGGGAGAAGACATTGATTAGACCCCCTTAAAAAATACCTACATATAAATAAAGGAATGTCTGTTTGTAACCTTGAAATTCCCGCTGAAATATAGGAACATAATAATATGTACAATTCGAAAGACCAGCGATTTCAACATCTCCTTGGAGCCACGCCAGTGCACTGTAATAATAAGCTAACAAAGCTATATCAAATAAATGCCTTAGTCGTGGAGAACCTAACGGGTTACCGGGGCTCCGGCTTAAAGTGCAGGAGAAGGAACGGGGTGGTTTTTAGTCATTACGAGTCTGACACCCCCTTCCGCCTCATCCAGGCGGGAGAAGTCATTAAATGATTTTCCCCCCTTAAAAAAAATACTTCCTGAAGTCAGATATTAGAAATTGTTTTATGGTATTATAAGTCTTTGAAGAATAAATCGCTTATTTCACTTTTAGAGGAAAACAGTTATTTATCTACTTACGTCATAGATATTCTTCTCAAAAAGTATGAGTCAAGAATTTATGTTACTTTCGAAAACCTTGATATCAAAACATCAAACAATATTTTATACGATCCATCACCTTACCTTATACTTGACAGTCATATAATATACTATAACCACCTCTAATATTAAGACCATCTATCAGACAAATCACATTCAATTTTCTTTACACTCTATAACACAACAAGCCGCCATGTTTGTTTTTAATTTCACCTGTGACAGATGCAATCGTAGTGTTACCAACGTCAGCAGAACGTTAAGAGTTGACATCGAACGTGCCTTTGCATTCACGAGTCTTATAGTTTAACGATATTTTCATACGACCAATCACCTAAAAGGTAATATACTGTATAATAGTCCATAGTATGATGTTAAATGTGTCTGTCTGTTTGATTGTTTGTCTTATAACGAGCCAAGGCCAGAGTCAAAGCAGAGCCATAGACCAATCTATGGCTAAAAATGATATCAAAATCATTTTTGTTTGGCGGAATTAAGGAAGTTGAAACAGTTTGTATTGTGTTATTTAATCTCCTTAGAAAGCCTGTATTATTATGCCAACATGGGAGGCACAATGGTCCAGTAAATCATTGTGGCATCCTCTAATAATAATAATCGCACTCACAACATACGTAAGCGCTGATCAAACTTTTAATAAAAAAGGAATCGTTTATAACGTATTATTTACGTTACTCATCATCGTGAACTGCTTTCACTTTGCAGACAAAACCACGTGTAACATCTAGTTCTCATATAAAAATATGGCAGAACCTGTGTATTACCAAGCAGTTTCAAATGTATATACATATACTTGTCTTTTTACTGCCATAAAAGTGTGGAATTGATATTGAAGCAATAAAATTGATAAACTTTTATATGAGAGACAAAATTTCAATAAAAGTTGTGGGTTTTATTGATATTATTTTGTGTTGAAAGTCATTTGTCATTGGTGTTAGTTGTAATTAACAGAAAAAGTTAAATAAAATGTAGTTAAGATGAGATAAAATGAATTTCAAAAATACCCAAACGAAGTGCATCGCAAATTGTAGATACATAAATATGAATACTACATGGGGAGATGGTATGAAGAAAAGCATAAATTCTAAGTAATATAGTTTTCAAATTACAATGCCTATGTGTAATCCACGAAAAAGTGTACCAGTGTCTTTTGACTCTTGCTGCTACAATTCTTTATTTTCCATCAGTATTTTTGCTTACGTTATTCTGAATAGCGCTCTAGTATTATGGAATTATAAATTTTAAGCCAACTGCTTTAATTTGGAAAAAAACGGTAAAATAAAACTTTTACTTTAGACAGTAAGACTCTAAGACTGTACTGAAAAAATCGTACTGAGCTAGTTGTGTCAAATTTCACCAAAGCGCACTAAGGGTTCAAAAACTCAACTACACTAAGGGTTCACTATTTCCATTCGTTCGCACGAAGCGTTTTGCGTCAAGCTTCGCATAAGCGAACCGCAAAGGAATGGAATTCATTACAGGAGTCTGTGTTTCCCAAAAAATATGACTTGTCCACTAGGATCAACTCAACCACTATCAGTGGGCCACCACATAGCTTTGCATAGCATAGCGTAGCATCGCATAGCGTAGCATAGCATAGCATAGCTCAGCGTTACATGGCATAGCATAGCGTTGCATGGCATAGCATTGCATAGCGTTGCACAGCATAGCATAGTGTTACATGGCATAGCATAGCGTAGCATCGCATAGCGTAGCATAGCATAGCATAGCTCAGCTTTCATGGCATAGCATAGCGTTGCATGGCATAGCATTGCATAGCGTTGCACAGCATAGCATAGTGTTACATGGCATAGCATAGCGTTGCATGGCATAGCATAGCATTGCATAGCATAGCGTAGCATAGCGTTGCATGGCATGGCATAGCATTGTATAGCATAGCGTAGCGTTGCATGGTATAGCATAGCATAGCATTGCATAGCATAGCGTTGCATGGCATGGCGTAGCATTGTATAGCATAGCATAGCATAGCGTTGCATGGCAGATCATAGCGTTGCATGGCATAGCATAGCATAGCATAGCATTGCATAGCATAGCATTGCATAGCATAGCATAGCGTTACATGGCATACCATATCATTGCATAGCATATCGTTGCATGGTATAGCATAGCAACGCGTTGCATGGCATAGCATAGCAACGCGTTGCGTGGAATGGCGTTGCACAGCATAGCATAGCATAGCATAGCATAGCATAGCATAGCATAGCATAGCTTAGCATAGCATAGCATAGCATAGCGTTGCATGGCATAGCATAGTGTTACATGGCATAGCATAGCATTACTTAGCATGGCATAGCATAGCGTAGCGATGCATGGCATAGCATAGCATAACGTTGCATGACATAGTATAGCATAGCGTTGCATGACATAGCATTGCATAGCGTTGCATGGTGTAGCATGGCATAGCACGGCACAGCGTTGCATAGCATAACATAGCATAGCATAGCTCAGCGTAGCTCAGCATTGCATTGCACGGCGTATATGACATAGCTTTGCACACCATCACCATACCTCTATATAAAGATAATATAATACTAGAGCACTATTCAGGTAAGCAAAAATACAGACGAAAACATTGCGAATTCTATGAGAAAAAGTCAAGAGACTGGCACAGGGTGTACTTTTTCTTGGATTACACACAAGCCATTGTTATTTGAAAACTATAGGTATAACTTAGATAACTGTTGGAACCCTGCCGATCACCTGGTGTCATTTGATATTCGACTTTAGGGACACCCCATGTTTCATCATTGTCCATTTATATTTTTTAAACAGATACATAAAATACATAATATAATATATCAAACAAAATATAAAACTAAAGCGTCAACCATTTTAAATCCCCACCTACGTATCTGGAAAGGTCAATTTTGCTCACCACTTATCTTTGACATTCAAAACCATGGACCACTCAGTAATTTAATTTCAATGCATTACCGAAATAAAATTTTAATAAAATACTATAAAAGGTATTGTAACCGAAAGCTTTTCAAGTCTACCAAGACCCCAAGAAATACTCTAACTTGAGCTACAGGCGACGAAGGTATGAATTTTAAAAGGAACTAAATTGAAATAGAGTTTCTTCCATGTTGAATGGCATCAATTTAGTCGATGTATACTCTAAAGACCAGTAGAAAATGACCGTTGAATAGGCAAAAAGATTATACAAAACAAGACCTTTATAAACTGGTTTCGTATAGCTCTATTTGTCGCCAAGTACTTGACTCAGTATTTCATTTGCTTTGAACGTTACAATTTGTCGGACGTTAAGTCCAAGTTATTATTCGATAGGAAATTTATTTAGTTTGCTTTGAGTTGCAAAAATTTTTCAAATCGTGTTTTTAAAAGGTAATATTATTAAGATCAAACCAAAGAATACTACCACTAAGGCTGCCTGCCCATTGACGCAGACTACATTAAAATTATGTCCAATGTTTAGCAATAGACTCATCTTGAAATTCAGATAAACTGCCAACAATATACATTTCATTTCTGTCTTTTGCAAGGAAATGTTGCAATCAATATACCATACAGAAAATAATAAAATTCAAAATAATAGTAATTCTATAATTAATTCTAATATTTAACTAACAATAACATGTATATACCAATGATAATGAAAACATCACAAGACATCGTAAAAAGTACCAGGAGTTCAAAACATCAAGGAGTTATTAAAATACCGTTAGTCAAGGTATATTCCGAAGACAGTGACTTGTATGAATGCTGAAGTGATTTCCCTGTGAATGTCGGCCATACCATCTCTCTCATGGTCCCATAGAAAGGCCACTGCGTTGGAGTAACTTTGAGCTCTCTTTTGCACCAGTGAGACTACGGCAATAATCCGATAGCGGTTGAAGCCCAAACTCTTCACGTTTCTCATTACTTCGCCTGCTATTACAATCGCGAGTCCCGGAGATTCCTGAGGAAGTAAATCGTAACACCCATATGAATAACATAACAACTTCTTCAAGCATACTTGATTTCCAATCAATTTCAGAAAAGAACATGTATATGCAGTACAATTTGTACACCTATAGGTGAATACATCTTCATTGAAAACCTAAATAATTCTACATTGGATACTATTACACGGGATTTTCCTAGCATATAGGGCTAATGTTGTCATCATAGTCATAATATTCTAAGGACTCACGGTGCGATCTACCGGATGGGAGATTTATTTTCAAAACTTACAAGACAGCGGTTCTGCGATCGCGATTTCTGCAGTCCCGCAATTGCCGTAGTTGTAATTATCGCCCGCAAACTTGTCGGTTGATTATCGAGCAGTGGCGGGGGTGGTTAAACAATCAGTTGAGGTCCAGACCGGCCCTCCCATTGCAATCGCCCGCCAACCGATCGTAAAGCACGCGATTGCTAGCTGCTGCGACTGCGAGACCGCGGCCGAGCCCGCTGGTGTAACGGGAGCCGCGAACAATCGCTACCGCCGCGGGCGTAAAACTTGACGTGACATTTCACGTTTGCTTTGATATTTTACATACATATCAGTATTCTACAAATGCTGCGGGTGGGGAGAAAATCGCGCCATGAGTCCTTAGCCTAATAGTGCAACATGACTAACATACACTCAGTACGTAATTCTTCTTTGTTTATTATTACTTATGGAACAAAAAAAAAATATGGGAGAGTCAAGGTTTGGTGACACCACGGCCTCCAGAAAACTAACGTGAAACAATGCTGACATTGTGTATCGTCCTCTGAGCAAGGTTACCGGAGGCCTAGTTATGGGGGTCCCCCAATTTTCCTATTCTCGAATCCCATCATCCTCAAATTCCTAATCCACAAAAGGCCGGTAACGCACTTGTAACGCCTCTGGTGTTTCAGGTGTTCATAGACACTGCCGATTGCTTATCATCATATGATCTGTTTGCTCGTTTACCGGCTTATCGCATAAAAAATCGTATAAGTAATTATGTAGATACGACATAAAACCATTTTCTTTTACCGCAATATTATACTTGTGGCCTTCCCAATAAGCATCTAGTACAGTATTTATGGTTTTCTCTACTTCTGTGACGTGGAATTTAATCCTAGGATCCAGTTGGTATGTATTCAGAAATATCAGCGGAGGTCTTTTGTATTCCAATCCGACCTAAAAGAACAATATACAATAATCCTCTTCATCCTCTCCTCGTCTCACAAATTTTCGATCAGAAACTTAGTACAAAAAACGTGTACAACTCCTCTATAGAAGTTTTCACTTCAAAAATGATGTTGTATTGCTAGAATAGACGTCATTTTACAACATCTAAAATAGCACAACTGAAGAAATATGAGTACTTAGTACAAAAATAGTAAGAACCTATAAAGAAGAATAGATGATGGAGCCAAGATCAGAGTCCATAATCTCATTTTAATCTCCTGAGATTTAAATCTTCTTTAGAGCTGGAGGGAGATCGGAGAGGGATAGTAGATCAAAATTCTTCATTTTGAGTTGTCCTGTAAGTCGTACCTGTGAAGTTCTTCGCTCAGTAGGTCTTATTCCAGCGACTCCACTGAACCCATAGGATTGTCTCCGAACTTTCATCCTACTAAGGGACTTTCCTTGTACTGCCGCCGAAGACTTCCCCGCAACAATATTCGCCTTGGCACTTGATGGAGTCTGTTCTTTAACGCTGAATGCAGTCGTTTTACTCTTTTTCTGTTCTGTTATCGATACTGTATCCATGATTATTTAATTGTAACAAAAATAATTTTATGTATAACTTCTAAATAATTCTAGCTTGTGCTTTGTACAACGCAAACTTCCAAATTGACAATAGAAAAATGATATCTTGTTAATCATGTCAGTGATCGTCAGTGACCAGAAAAAAAGAAAATTTTGTGGTCTCATGAAGGTCTGAAGTTTATTTTGTAGAATCAAGGTTTAGTATAAAGTGGATATATTTTTTAATTCCTAACTTTATTTTGCTCTTTTATGATTTCTGTCACAGCTGAAAGTTTTAGCACAGCATTTTATAATTATAAAATTCTTCTAACAATATTCAAAAAACTTTTCTAAGAACCTTGTAAAAATAAACGTGACAAATTCATAGGTTCCCGTAATGTAGGACAAAATACGCTGTGAAAAATTTCTGTTCACACGTTGACAAAGAGGTTTTTCGGGTAAAAGCTGTAGGTACGTACAATGCGAAGCGACCTCTTTTTTTGGAATGTTGGCCTCTTTGTATTCCACCCTCGTTTTTTGTTGGGCCACATACAAACACTGCTTGTTACCTGAAACGACCAGAAAGATGCTTCACTTGTAATATACGAGTATATTTTTTGCACATTTCTCCTTTCAACAAGATACCTAAGGACTCATACGTTTGAGGATCCCTATACTTACGAGTCCTTTCATTTTTTACCTTTAACCTTTCAGTATGATATTGAAAATTGTACTCCACAGTAAACATCATTATCTATTTGCTATACAAGTGGAAATTCAAAAATATAATTCTCTTTACCGAGCGGAATATATATCGGACGTTGACCTTCCAACAGAAAAATACAGTATAAAGCATTGACATGCTACTTGCATTCAGTATAGTAGATGCAGCGATAGAAATCCTACGTCAACTGGAATTCCCTTATAGGTCAGTTAAACGTTTGTTCACCCCGAACAAGTGGTACGGGGTGGGACTGAGATTTGACCGATAGCGGTTCCAGGGACCTCAACTGAAAGCCTTTTTGTTCTCAAATTAGAAACACGAGGACAGATAGCTTGATACTGTCGGGTGAAGAAAGAAAGAAATTTTAAGGGGATTTGGTGCATTTTGTTTATTATTTTAATTATATTTTTTTCTTTTTTTTTTTGAGTTAAGACTATTTTTCGTATCAAAATGATTGTTCGAGGATTAAGTTTGTACAGAATGTAATACATAGTTCCACTACTAATACAATTTTAAATAGAATATAATTAATGTAAATGGTAGATGAGATATTATTTCAATTACAGAGTATAAAAACAAAACACGCCATTTTAATTACTATGAGAATTATTTTGTTCCATTTTTATTTTGTAAATCTTTACGTAATTTACTTAATAAAATCATACCAAGAGCATTTAGAAAAAAATAACCAACTAAAAGCGCTATAAATTGTCTTCTTTATGTATTTTTCAACCATTTTGTTCAGCTAATAGCTGCGAATATACTACAGGATAAAGAGGTCGTTCTGAAATTTAAGCTGGAGAAGCACCACTTACCTACGTTGGACTTTTTACTAGAACATTTTTAGATACTAGATTTTCCTAGATGTTGAACTGTTACGAAATTTCAGAAGAGTGCTTTGTTGTAGTCGACTTTTACCTGCTCTGTGAAAGTTTTGACAAATTCTCGATATTTAGTTTGGAAATTTTAGAAGTGAAATTACACGCCAAGATATATTTTGACCTATATTGACGGCAGAGCATTATGCATATTGATGGATAAAAATGAGATATACCAGAATCGTGGCATTCGTTATGCCATTATCGGTACCTACTTTAATCTGTCCCCCTACATGAACGTTACCAAATAACTCCCTACAAAAATAGTTTTAAACCGATTTCTAAAGGAAACTCCATAATAGTTTTATGGAGTTTGGAGTACCTACAGCTAGTATCAAAACTTGATTCATATCTGCAGATTTTCGATTGAAATTGGTAGTAAATCATTGCAATATGCTCATCTCTTATCATGCTTACATGGGTTTTAAAACAACTGGTGAATAGTGGGTCTTAGATTCCATAATTTGGACTGTTGTGTACTTCTGTCTACTACTGAGAGTTTTAAGAGAGAGAACTCTACACATTAAACGTTTGACCACAAACAAATTTACATACTCACCTAATTGCCTCGTTGGCCGAGAGGTCGCAAATGCGACTGCCAGGCAAGGGGTCTTGGGCTCGATTCTCGAGTCGGGCAAAGCAATACTAAGTTTTTTCAAAAACTTAGCAGACCGGAATTGTTCCCCCGGTATATGGCAATAGGCTAACCCCCTATTACATGGGACTCATAACATAAATAGTGAAAAGTGGGTGTTACATTGTACAATGGCATTAAGTGCCGTAATCTGCACCTCTGCCTACCCCTTCGGGGTTAAAGGCGTGATGTTATGTTATGTTATGCTATCTAATGTCGAAAATTCAATTTAGCATCACGATTCCATTGCTAAAACATAATAACAAACCCTTCCAGGATAAAATATCTTTATATCTATTTCTAACTTCACAGCACCCGTGTTACATCTCATTATACTAAAACGTGTTTTATAACAAAACAAATCTTTGTTCACTGACGTAAGAGAGCTTTGCCCAAGGTCCGTCGACCTGCAAGTCCTGCTACTAAGGGTCGTGTACACTATCTGATTAAATATAAGTCTTACGAATCTTCTGCACCAATATTATGAAGACGAAAATTGTTCAGTTTGTACGTATTGCGTAAATTGTCCATAATTACTGGAAAGGTTTGAAAAAAATATTAACTTTACTTTGGTTACTATTCCAGATCATTCCAGAGAAATTTTTATTCCTTAGTGGAAAAACGGCCTGTAAAATATATAATCTTCTTAGCTTTTACTTGAGAAGTGCAATCAAGAACAGCTCTTATGACAAAGCAACAAGGCGTAGTGTGCTTTATCTAAACTATTGATGCAGTTTAGGATTAAAGTCGCTCAGGTATCTTGTATGATTTCCGTCTTCAGATTAAAATTCTATCAGTTTGCAATGATAATTTTTAATCCGATAGTGAGGGATTCTGGTGTTAGTTACTGTACAGGTACAGTGGTACACATTGCATATTACTTTTAACTTCAGCAATGTAATATTTATGTACAAGCAACTTCTTGATTTGGAAAACAACCTCACTGAAAGTAGTAATTACTTACTATTGTATGACCGCTTTTAATCCTTAAACAGATAGTCACTTTTTCATTAAATACTTTTCAATAGATTATTAAATGCTTTTTACATTTATTTATTTACTAGCTATTTCCGCGTGGATTCCCTCATTCTACTCGGCGCCTCTTAATCATAGCGTGATGGTTTAAAGCCTATAATAGCCTTCCTCGGTAAATGGGCTATCCAACACAAAAATAATTTTTCAAATCAAACCATTAGTTCCTGAGATTAGCGCGTTCAAACAAACAAACTCTTCAGCTTTAGTATAAGATTTATTTGAATAGAATTAGAAGTATAATTGGTATTTATACACGTGTATTATGTATACTATATACATACAATTAAAAGAAAAAAAGAAGAATGTGAATAAGACGTAAAAAGATAGTAATTAATTTAGTACTTATGTCTCACGAAAGTTATAATAGAAAAAAAAAATCAAATACAAAATTTTAATAATTCTTATCATTCATTCATTTTCATCGCAAACATCTTCACTTTTATTCTCATCACCTACGTTCTTCTTTATTTCCTTTCTATTTCACAGACATTCAACTGCTCAGCTATCTCCAACCGCATATAAACAAGGCACTATGTAAACTCCCTCTAAGTGCATTGAGCCCGCATCGGTCTTAAGTTATACTGCGTTATGTAAACTGAGCTAAGACATACAGACTAAGTTCTAGAGGTGTCCCTTTACATTTTAGTTGATTTACAAGTTGAATGTTATTCAGTTTGACCACGTTGTTCTATTGAATTAATTTTACAGTAATGTGGATTGTAGAAGTCTGTTTCTTTGACTTTTAAAGGAAAGTAACTTGGATTTTTTTTAAGGGGGGAAAATCATCGAGTTACTTCTCCCGCCTAAGTGAGGCGGGAGGGAGTGTCAGACTCTTACTGACTAAAAACCACCCCGTTCCTTCTCCTGCACGTCGAGCCGGAGCCCCGGTAACCCGTTAGGTTCTCCGCGACAAGTCACTTGGATAGATGTGGGTGTTGTCAGAGTGAGATTGAATGTGTTTAGCTTTAGAAGTGTTTATGTTCGAAGTGATTGTTAGGACTTTTTTAAAGGATGGAATACCATCGAATGACTTCTACCACCTGGGTGCGGCGGGAGGGATTGTCAGACTCTTACTGACTAAAAACCACCCCGTTCCTACTATTGCACTTCGAGCCGGAGCCTCGGTAACCTTTTTACGTTCTCCGCGGCTCCGTATCGCCATCAACCCTATTGTGCCCCATCCGTGGTGATTGTTAGGACTAGAGTTTTAACACTATGGTCCATTTTCACACGACTATTACGTACTACATGTATGTGTACTAAGACATTAATTTCATTTCACCCGCATTCATGTATGCAGATAAGTAAATCAACAATATAAAGCCAAATAACCAAAAATTTTAATAACATTCAAAAATTATAACAGCTACAAACCTATGTCGTCATAAGGGAAGTGACACCAACATAATACGAGCACCACAAAATGGCCGCCCTCGACCATAAGTACCTAAAACCCCAAGTAATAACTGCTTATGTTTCCGCCCTTTATGAAAATATCTACCCTTGCCGTAATAAAAATAATCATACACATTTATTCACATACCATTTTATGTCATCAAAAGTTTTGGTGGAACTATGAAAGTAAATAAATTCATGGTAACTTTCGTATGATACAATAAACTCACGTAATTACTTGACGAGCAACTTGACTAGTTTCAAGCCATGCCAGAGGATCATATGCGACTCGAATAGCCATAGTCAGCAGCAGCGCGATAGTCGCCGCGTCGCGGGTAGCATAGCTTGAAATTCGTCAAGTTCCTCGTCAA